CCACGCTTATCTTTTAATTATATTTTTATTAAACTCTATCAATAGGAATTGCGACGAAAAGCGAAATTAAAGTTAAACCTTTAATAAAAATTTGTTTTTTTTTTAAAAATTTTCCCTCTGTTCGATATTTGAATTTAACTTTAAATTAATCATTCATTTAAATTTTAATTGCGTGAAACTACAGTAGTTACCACCGGTTACTTCAGTTTCTTTTATGAATCGTCGAGATCGAAAAACGAACGGACGGACATACCTACAGTAGCCCAAGAAAAGTTCTTAGCCAGGAGAAATAAACTACATCCAATTTTAAAATTTAATTACGTAATCTCTACTCAGCATAAATAAACGGTATTTGGAACTGGTATAGAGTAGTTCCTCCATTTGCTAGTTTCAGTGCTTGTATTCGATTTTTCATGAATTTGATCAAATTATCAACCATTATCTGTTCCATATTTTGACACCTCTTTAGCAATGATTTTGGTTGCACGCTCTCGAAGTTTTCTGTGAAGGTACTCCCAAACGTGCTCTATTGGATTCATATCAAGATTTTAGGCTATTTTAGTGACTTGATTTCTTGCTATTCCTTGCAGGCCTTTGCTACATTATTCACATGACATGGCACTCCATTCTCTTGATAAAGGTAGACATTCTTGCCAGTCTGATTGGTTTCAAATAGTGGGAGTAGTCCTTTCTTTATAATATTTGACATTATTTTGGACCACTAGACCACTCATCAACAAGAATCAGCTCAGAGTTCCCTCTTAACAAGACAGCACCCGACACCATTACTTCATTCCCGCCATGTTTCACGGTTGTCTGCAGACATTCAGTGTTGCAAGGACTATTCTGGTTTCTTCAAACATAACCCTGTCTCGAATTCGAAGACTGACAGAATTTACTTTCATATGTCCAAATTGCAGACTGCCAATATTCATAATTTTTGCTCTCGAATTCATCACCCAGTCCATACGCCTGTTCCTGTTAACCTCTGAAATCAAGAGATTCTTCCTTGCAACTCTCTTTCAGAGTCTTTCTCACCGCATATGGCGACATTTTCATGCTATTGGCGACATTTTTGAAGCTCTGACGATGGTTTCGGATGACTTCCCTCTTCAGCGCCCTTTTCGTTCACTGAGACACTATGCTTGGTCTTCCTGAACGTTGTTCCACACGACAATGGTCTTATTCATTAAATTTCTTGAACATATTATTAGCCATTTGATGATTAACCTGGAAAACCCTAGCAATTTCTCTATTTGACTTGCCCCACTGATGCCATCATATTATTTGTCCTCATTGAAATTCACCAATTTTCTTACTTGCGCAAAGTTTCATTGCGAAATATGTCAACTAGCGTTCATAAATTAGAGTAGCTTGATACTAACAAGGTATAGTTAACCCCAATCTGGGGTCAAAACACCATGAAAGTGTAAAAATACAAGAAATACTTTGAAAAAATATGTTACCAGCAATAACTTTTTGTGGAAAATATTACCAGCAATGCATTTTTGAGAAAAAAAATATTACGGGCAATAAAAATTGTCGGCATTAAGTAACCCACTGATCTTGATATGCTGGAAAACAAACAAACCAAACCAGGATCCCAAGAAAAACCTAAGGTCAGAAATGATTTCATCTTCCGTTGATGACTAAGAAAAAAACCCTAAGATCACACGCATTTTAGATAGATCATCGTAATGTGTGAGCTGTATTGTGCGTACATTTTTTTTGTATTTCTTTAATGCGTGAGCTTTCAGGAATATCTTCAGTGAATCTATCGGAATATTTTTCAATCAATCCGAGTGCTCCAGCTACTACTGGAATAATTAATATCCTCAACTGCTACATTATTATTATTATTATTATTATTATTATTATTATTATTAGTTCATTTCCTTTGGTTTCTGATCTATACTCATTTCTTTCCGGATCCCGACCAGGGACCTAAGGTCGGAAATGGTATCATGGCTTTTTCTTTTTCACTGGGCAGCTTTCAATAAAAAATCACAAATATTTACATAGATAACGACATTCGTAAGTTGTGGACTATACTTGTGAGTGCAATTTTTTTTTATCTCCCCAAGGTATGGGCTAACAGGGATTCCTTCAATGAGTCGATTGGAATCTTTTCCAGTCAATCCGAGTGCTCCAACTACAACTGGAATTGTTGGATACATTGCAATCTGCAGGGACTGCCATATCAAAAAAAAAAAAAGACACCTTTTGGCTTTGCGGTTTCTAATCACGATGTCAGAGCAATTAGATTTGATTGTTATGTTTGGGAATATTTATCCCCATAAAATTATTACAGGGCCTATATTTGTAACCGGCTTTTGGTGTTGTTATTATTATTATTATTATTTAATGTGGATTATTATAACATTATAGACGTTATGCCCTTTAGTCTACATCAGGTCCTTGAAGATTCAAGTAACCTCCAGGGAATTACGAATGACACCATGGGGGAGATTGTTTTCATTCCATTGACCATGTCTAAGGATGTATCTTCTAGTCCTTACATAACTCCTCATTCCCTACCAACGCTTTAATCTACATGGCGTGGTGAATTAAATCGTTGGTTCTTGAATTTGGTGACATAGTCGTTTGTGATTTCAATCCCTGCGTAAGAAGCGTGTAGTGGAACTTTATGGAAATGGGCGAACAATATCGGAGTAGAAATAAAACTAACCATGAGCAGTAGAAAGAGAAAAGTCTAACCCCGTAGATATAAAAGATTAAGTTCAGAATCCCTAGTAGATCACCCAGTTTAATATACATCTGAGGAAGACCCGTGGGCCCGACGGTCAAAACGTCTTGATAATAACAAGATTAAAAAAAAAAATTATATAAATATTGTAAATAATGATAACTCCTCATCTCAAAAATTCATACAGAAAAAAAAAATTATAATTTTGACTGGTGCTACTATGTCACACAGAGCTAAAAAAAAATAGCGAAAGCCTTGTCACTTAAAAAGCTTGCGAAAGCTACAAAAATCCGCGTAGCTAGAAGAGAAAGTAATCCTATAATCAAAATGTCGACCCTCCACGCTACCAAATGTAGTCTTCTTAAGGGCCCGTCTGCGAGGTGTTATAGAAAACGTTTTGACAATTATCATCTTGACAAAGAAGGTCAGCTGAGTGGAGAGGACCTACTATGAACCAGATCAACCTAAGATGACGAAGAAGGTCAGCTGGGTGAAGCCAGAACCTGGATTCTTGATGAATTGAACCGAGGTGTCTGGTCTGAGATGCAACGCTGTGAGGAAAAAAAACAAACTCTCATCAGTGTAGGAAAGAGTTACAACAGTTAGTGGACATTAGGGAAGTTAAATTTCCTGAAAGTCTGTTCTAAATATATTTTTATACGATTCTCTTAACAGTGACGCTAAATGATCAATCAATGGATATCAAAAGTTTCCTGAATGTAAACAGTGGATTTTTATAGTTAAGGTGATTCTCACGTGTATTATACCGAGGCTCGCTTTGGATAGCCAGCCCGGTTTGGGAATGATTGGCATTCTAAAATATTTTATTAAGAAGTCAAAATTTGGTACATTTGCCAGGAGCAGATTTTTTTGAATCCTTTAGCTATAAAAATTTATGTATTTTCACTTTATATATGAAAATTCGTCACGTTACTTTTATTTTTTCTTATTTGCTTACTTATTATTTTTTCCTTTCCTTTTTCTCATATTTCTTTTCTCAATGCGCATATTACTTACACGTTTAGCTCCATTGTTTTCTTTTTTTCTCCACCCAAATTTTTTTTGCTGTTTTTCTTTTATTATTATTATTTCGCTTTTTTACTTACTTCCCGTCTCGTATTATTCTCGACCCAGGCAGAACAAGTGTCACAGATTTTCGAAATAACTGCTGACACACTTTTGCGATTAGAAACCATTCTTCGGTTACAGAGAAGCGTGCAAGTTATGCGAGAAAAAAAAAATGGGTCTGTTTATATATATATATATATATATATATATATATATATATATATATATATATATAAAACATCTAAATATATATGTGTGTATAGAAAAACATTCACGCCGTTACAAAGAAGATTTCTAGCCGCCATACTGCCTCCAGTCAAGCGCACAGACACACAAGCAGACCATATACACATATACAAGTATATATATATATATATATATATATATATCTATATATATATATATATATATATATATATATACAGATTTAGCCAACTGTTGGTAGCTAAATAAATAGATTGTCGTAGATAGTACTGAATAGATTATTAGAAATAAAAATATATAAAAAATCCATATAAAAAGCAAAATAAAAAAGTAATGGTCAAAATATGTATATCGATATACATACGAAAAATAGGATTAGTTTCCGGTTAAGGTTGAAAACACAGCGTAATGGGAAAGTTTTGATTCGGTCACACAAACAAATAAATATTAGTACAGAAGATAACCCGAGGGATTTAAATAAAAGATTACATGAACACAAAAGAAACATTTTAATAAAACAACACAATGATTCAATCGCTTACCGTCATGAATTTGATCATAATTTCAATTTAAAAATATTGCTGCTTTAACTAAAATCAATAACTTAAACTGAAGCGAAAGTATATAGAAAATTCTTGTGTGTGTGTGTGTGTGTGTGTGTGTATCTATGAAGCTCCCCCGAAGGGTAGGGTTACGTTGGGGGTGGTTGACAGAACTGGCCCGCCTCGGTGGGTTTCGATGGGTATTTATTTTTGGCTAGGCCTACGGGCTCAGAGATACCCACATTAAAAAGGCCTTGTGCCACATTCGATCCCCGTGGGTGGATTGATAAATACCATCTATGAGGTAATATATATACCCAAGCCTTGTGAATGAAATTGGGTAGACGGAACTCTTGGGGGCCGTCGATAGATATGATAGCACACAAAAATATATATATATATATATATATATATATATATATATACTCAGTCAACCCTCTGTCTTAGTAGCTTTGTTGCCTTGCATGGATTGAAAGGATTCAGAAAAAATAGATAGATAGATAGATAGATAGATAGATAGATAGATAGATAGATAGATGTGTTATTAACCATATGTCAAATAAAAAATCTTCTTTGTAGGCGAAAATAAAAACAAATTTTAACCTAAGTAATTTCATGGGAAAATATTTTATTTTTTATTACATTATATTTTTTTATTATTCAAGCACCGGAGAGGGCATTACCTCTACTAAATTTATTCGAGTACAAAGGCCGGTAGAACCTAGTACATACTGATTAAATAAAAAATAGAACCTCTGTTTCATGCACGGTTATCCCATAAAAAGAATGTTTGAATCTATCTATCTATCTATCTATATATATATATATATATATATATATATATATATATATATATATATATATATATGTATTTAATATGTTTGAAGATATATATATATATATATAATTATTTATTTAAAAATATGATTCCATCGCTACATAAGACTTCTCATGTTTCAAACCAAGAGCCGAAAACTTCAATATAAATGAATAACAAAGTGAAAAAAATTGCTACTCGTTTTTTTTTTTGTTTTTTTTTTTTTAGCATTTCACCCCAAGCAAGGTGGGAAGCCACTAGGACGTAAGGGGTTACAGAAAATAGCAAGATCAGATAGGAGTGATAGAAGAAAGGATGAGGTTAGTGGATAGACTAAGGCAACTGGAGATGTCGATTGACATTACACTTGAATAGCTGGAGATTATAGCTCACAGGGAAACAGGAGAAGGGAAGGGAGTTCCACAGACGAGAGGTGCGAGACATGAAGCTATTAGAGTAGAAGAGACGGCTACATTTATGAGTTTCGACAGTGAAGGTGTGAGAGCGGGATGCCAGCCTCGTAAGGCGCTGGAACTCATGAAGTCTGGGAACCAGCGAATGCAGCTCCTCGGAGCAATTACCATGAAAGTATTTGTAGAACAGACAAAGGGAGGCGACGGCGCGTCTGTGAGAAACTGACTGTAGACGAGACGCCAGGGCAGGGTTTTGTCTTGTAAAAGAACTTCATCGGCGAAACGCGTAACAATTTTTCACTGTCATTCATGTGCCTAACATCGTTTTGATATATAAAATATATTTATATAAAAAATTATATATCATATTGTCTACTGCACGGTCTTCCTTGCTTAAGTTGGTGAAAGCTGCCATAATCCTTGCCTTAAGTTCATCTTCAGCGTTAATAGGAGTTTTGTTTTTCTCTCGCTCAACTGCTCCCCACACATAATAATCAAGATGTTGCAGTCTGGAGAGTTAGTCGGCCAGATGTAATGGGTGATGTGGTCGCAGAACTTGTCTGTCAGCCATGACTGAGTTCTCCTGCTTGTGTGGGATGGTGCAAACATAGGGTCTTCCAGCAGCCAACCCTGATCCAGAATATCACGACCTCCTCAAGGCACTTTATGTAGACTTCCGTGTAGAGTCTGAAGACGTCCCCAACAAATTCAGTTCTTATCAGAACGATCAGAGTTAGTTTTTCGTCCTCCTCTACCATCGTAATCACCATCTTTCCAAATCCTCTGCACTGTACTCACTCTGAAATGTTCGTAATGGAGCTTCCGGTGCGAATGCCAAGCATGACAGCATGCCGTTTCCAAATTTTTGCGGGAGCGAATTGTGTTATGGTGCTCTTTTTCTCACAGACAGAACCCATCTGACCCTACTATACCATACAGTCGACAAAATCAAAAACAGACAACGCGCATGCGCGAAATTAAATAATTACAAAGCCCACAATTTAACCATCGTAAATTATAACTATAACTATATATATATATATATATATATATATATATATTTGATAAATATTCTAAATAATGGTTTGTTTTAAGAAAGAATAGATACTACACTATGTCAACGTTTTTATGGGCTGAGCTGTGGTAACAATCATGTTATATATACTATTGAGAATCTGGGTCCCGGATGTGCAAAAGTCTTTTTTACACTCTAGGGATACTTTAAGCCACACCCAGTTCATGATCTCTTGGGGTGTTTCCTGATGTTTTAAGAGAGTTTGTTCTTGTTTGTCCCCAACATGAAAGAAGAACAACGAAAAATATGTCGGTAAATTCGCCCTGAAAAGCAGCATATTATTAAACACTAAACCGTGAAAAAAGGCGTTCTTGTTTAACTTCCAGATGGATTCATCTCATTCTTTCTATTTGAAAGCTGCAGCCAGGAATACAGACTATATACGCGTAACTTCGTCCGAAATATGTAAATGATATGTAGAGTAAGAAGAGAGTCATGGATCTGAGTCCCTTTCACACATTCATACGTGGTATAAAAACACATGCGTATATATGCGAAAAGTAAGATAAATTTGAAGAGAGAGAGAGATTTGGAGAGGGATAAATTTGAAAAAGAAATTTGGAGAGAAAATTTACAGAAAGAAATTTGCAGAGTGAGCGAGAGAGAGAGAGAAAGAGTGAGAGCGATAAATTTGTAGAGAGTGAGATAGATTTGAAGAGAGAAGTTTATTGAGA